GCGAAGATTTCTCCGCTTCCACTTCTCCCACGCCCCCCATTTCGCAGCCTCCTCTCCATGGACATCGACGCATTCATGAGGTTGCTACTGCTACAGGTTCTTCGCTACGGAAGGACCCGGGCGAAGACCCAGCTTGTCTACGTTTGGAAGCTCCGGGGGACCATGCTCCTGGCGTTCATCTGGTGGCATCGACCTCCGCTTGTGCAGACCAGCCCCCTCTTCTCGAACATGGACCCGATCTGGTCGGCGGCACGCTCCTGTTGGACTCGGACTCATACACCACCCGGGTCCTGCTGCATGGAGGACCTACAGCCACTTCTCAACTCGCGCGAGTGGCGCTTCTGGACTCTGGGTCTCCTGCATCCTTCGTTTCCGACTCCGTGGTCACCGCCATGATAGCTGCCGGAGCCCTGACAGCTGGCAGCGTTCGTGTTTCACCCTCTCGTCGTTGGGGTGGGTTTGTTGATGGACCCGCCCTTGTGACCACCCCGTCCATTCGTCTCACCGTTAATTTTCTCCATGGAGATCGAGCTACCGCTTCCTTGGCGGTCTAGGCCTGTGTTGTTCCAGGCGCCGCCATAGGGCCCGCCGTGCTTCTGGGTCGTGATAGCTGGATGCGCTTCAACTCTCGCGTGTTCACCACCCTCCCCCACCCTGGACCGGACGGCCGGGTTATGGGCGAGCTCACGCTCTCTCCGCGTTTTACAGCTGGCGCTTGCGTTTACGCTACACACGACGACGCTCCTCCCTCCTCGTTTCACCTTAAATATGCAGGGAGCTCGGGAATTTCTTTGGGGCCGGAGCCTGCACTCGTTGAGGTGGACCTCGTTCGTTCTTCTGGCATGCCTGCGCTGATTGGAGAGTATCTGGTATCGTTCAAACCCGAAGTGGGTGCGCTTTCGTCCCCAGATGCGTTCGTTTCCAATGGTCTCCAGCGTATTCCCCTTGCAGGTTGTGCCGAGCTGGAGCCGGGAGACATTATTGGAGTGTCTGCCGCGCAGCTACCACGAGTACCGGTAGAAACCCTGAAGGCGGCACCAACTTCGATTCCTACCGGCCCCACAACATCTGCATCATCACCCGGGTCGACGTCGTTGGCCCCAAGTCCGGGATTCGCCGCTCTCCGGACCCAGCCTCCGCCCCGCCTCCTCCGAACCCGCCTCCACAAGAACTACTTGACCGCTTATCTGAGGCACAGCGCTCCAGCTTCATGCGCTTATGGGCTAGGCTGCCCGCACATATGCACGACATCGCTTTCGATCTACACAATCCGGGATGGACACCGGAGGCTATTGATCGTCCGGCCGACGCCCTTGTGTAGTACTGACGTGTTCTCTACTTCGAAAACCGATTTTGGTTCATGCACCATCATGCCGTTCCCTCTTTCTGTCTCAGCAAGGACGAAGCCAGTTGCATCACGCCCGTATCGTATCAACCCGTTGATGCAAAAGAAAGTGGATGCCGTTTTGGACCAGTATTTGGTGGCAGGGCTCATTCAACATTCCACGTCTCCGTGGGCTTCTCTTTTAGTTGTCATCCCCAAGAGGGACGGATCGGTTCGCATCACCGTCAACTACAAACGTCTCAACGCTCTGGTGGATTTGGATGGACAACCTCTCCCTCGAGTGGACGGTATCTTGGATTCTCTGTACAACGGGCAAGTGTTCTGCATCTTCGACCTCAGCTCGGCTTTCCACCGGATCGTTTGTGATGAAGACACTGTCCCGCTCACCGCCTTTCGCACTCCCACGCAGTTGTTCGAATGGCTTTGGACGCGGCAGGGAGCCAACGCAAGTTCGCCTTGGTTCGTCAAGGTCATCAACAGAGTGGTGCACGGTCTGGAGCGTGTGCTTGCTTTTCTGGACGATGTCATCTGTTTCGATGAGGAACCTCTGGGACACGTGCTGAACATCATCGAGTTCTTCAAACGACTGCGACAGTACAATCTCAAACTGTCTCCAGGGAAGGCTCGCGTCGGCGCCACGCACGCCATTTTCCTCGGCCACACCATCTCTCCGGCAGCTGTTAGCCCTGATGGCGTCAAGGTTAGGGTGGTCACGCACATGCCGCCGCCGAAGAATGTTAAGCAGCTTCGGAAACTTCTCGGTGAACTCAGCTACTACCGGAAATTCCTCAAGAATCTCGCCACCAAGGTGCGGCCTCTCAACTCTCTTCTCAACAAGGCGTTCCCTTCAAGTACACCCCGGGCATGGTCAACGTTGTTAAAACGTTGTTAAGCGAACTCGCTCGCCCCCCGATTTTGGTCTCCCCGGATTGGGCGGCAGTCGAGGACAAAAGCCGTCCTCTTCGATTGTGTTCCGACACGTGTATCGACGACTTTGGCGCCTCCTTGGAACAAGAACAGCTCGATGGCTCGGTGAGACCCATCGTGTACATCTGCAGCGCTACTCTTCCTGCGGAGCGTACCTGGACCGTTTTGGATCTAGAGGCTGGTGGCATTGTTTGGGCCATCAAACGCCTTCGCGGTTATCTGTGGTCGACCAAGTTCATCATATATCCGGACCACAAATCCTTGGAGAGCATTGCCAAGGTTGGGAAGCACAACGCTAGGGTGTAGCGATGGCTCGGATTCCTGTCCAACTTCACCTACACCCGGAATTATCGGAAAGGTTCGGCAAACGGCAACGCGGATTTTCTTTCGCGGCTGCCTTTACCAGCACAAGACACTGATAAAACCGGCCCCGACTGCATTGATGGTGTCGATGAAGCGGGTGTTTTCCTCGTTCGGGCTTGCGGGTGCAACTATCACTCGTCGACTACGCCGGAGGTCGGTTTGGGTGGGCTCCGCCCTCCTTGCCCGGCGGGAGTCTGTTCGCCCCCCGCGTTGCAGCCTTTGGGGATTTTCGCCGACATCACCCACGTCGGTTGGATGCTCTGACGGACTCAACGATTGCCTGCGAGGATTCTCGGCGGTCCCAGGGGGTCTTCATCGTCTCGCCTGTTCCCGCATCTTCAGGGCCTGTTTCCCAATTGACTTCTGCTGCGTCCCGCGTGATGGCTCCTGCCGCGTCTTTGGCGACTCGATATGTGCGCGTTTTGTCTTCGCTTCCGGAGCGGGGACCGCTCATTTCTTCACGGACTCGGGCCAAAACTACCGCTGTTTCCGGAGGCACCGTCACCGGTCCCGCTTATTTCGGACGCCAGCCGCGGGCTACCATCCTCCCTCGGACATCGTCGCCTGCCCGTCGCTCTAGCAGGTCCCGCTCGACAAACAAGACCACCCGGACCGCCGCGCGTCTTCTGCAGCCATCCGCGACGCCGGCATCAGCGTTTCCGCCGACTGCTCCTGCGCCACCGGTGTCTTCGCCGTCAGCGGCGCGCCCTGCATCCCCGACTTCGCCTTCTCTACAGGTTTCGCCCGAGACTTCGCCCCTCACGATGTCCCCTTCGCGGACATCACCCCGGACTGCGGCTGCCCCAGTCGCTGAGGCTTCACCTTCTTCAGCCTCTTCCGTTGGATCCCCTGACTTTCTTTTGAAATTTCCTGATTTGGACACCTCCCACTCGCGGGCTTGTGTTCAGAGTTTCAACACTGTGGACTGGGCTAGGGAACAACAGCGGAAGAGCGAGTGTGTGGTGGCTATGCGTATTTTGTCTCGCGGTTCTCTCTCCCCACCCCCTCCGGACTTGCTCACTCTCCGTGCTTCTCATCGCTCCCCTCGGTTGGATGATGTGCTGGTGTTGGCGGCAAAAACCAGACTGCACACGACCGACGACAACGTCACCCTCCTCGCACATATATCGGCGCCGTCGCCGGTTGGGCGCTCTGGCGGCAGGACCAATCGTCTGCCGGATACTGGCGTGCCCCGTGTCTACGTGCCAATGCTGATGCGTCCGTGGGTCCTTCATGCATGCCATACCGCCGCGTCATTTCATCTCGGCGTCCATCGTACACAGCGTCTGCTCGAGCGCTTCTACTGGTGGATTGGTTTGGATCGTTTCGTGCGCTGGTGGCTTCGGGCGTGTTTGGTGTGTCAAGCTCGCAAGACTTCACGTCAGACTGCTCGGTGGCCCGTCATCTCTATGCCATTGCCGCAGGGGCCTGGTACGGTCGTCGGCGTCGACTTCTTCAGACCTCTGCCAGTGACTGCCAAGGGCAACTCCTACATTTCGTTGTTCACAGACCGTTTCGGTCGGAGAGCCGACATGTTCGCAGTTACAGCGGCGGAATTTACGGCGAGAGGGACGGCTCACATCTTCGTCAACCAATACATGACCAAGTGGGGATGTCCGACTACGTTATTGTCGGACAACGGACTGCATTTCTGCTCGAAGCTCTCCATGGCGATCTACGAGGTGATGAAGATCAAGAAGGTCACCACCAGCTCCTACCACCCGCAGACCAACGGCGGCACTGAACGCGTCAACCACACGATGGCCCAGATGCTTGCGGTGGTCGTCAACGAACAGCAAAATGATTGGGACATACATCTCCCGCACGTTGAGCTTACCTACAACAATTCCGTGAACCAGTCTACTGGATTAGCGCCAAACGAGATCCACATCGAACGCATCCCGCGACTCCCGCTTTCGGTCTTCGATCATCCCATGGTAGGTGGTCATCAAAGCTTGGCCCGCGATCAACTCGAGTATTGCAACCTGGCTGTCGATCGCCAGCGGCGGGCCTACGAAGTCCGTGAGTACAACGCCCTGAAGATTTCGCGAGTCGAACGCCACAATTCATCCCTGCTGGACGCCATTCACAAGCTCCCTCAGTTTACCGTTGGCGGGTGTGCGTGAGTGTACAACACGGCTGCTACGATTCTACAGGGTGTGCAGAAGGACACGGACCAACAGGTGCTCAAGGCCACATTCGCACTTTCCTGGACGGGGCCCTACAAAGTTGTTGCGGTGGATCCCGCCTCTGCCGGTGCCAGTCCGGACGGCCGCCCGTTGGCGCGTAAAATCCTCTACCTGGACCTGCCTTCCGATCTTTCCGGCCCGGCAGCTCGTTGTCGCGTGTCTGTCCTTCGTTGCAAACCCTGTCGCAATCCGTACGAGACGGACGACTTGCCGCAATCTCTACCCGCCGAGTTTTCGCGTCATGTTCTGCACATTTTCGGAGATAAATGTCCACCGTTCCAAGTCACCGCGGATGATGTGTCGGTGCCTGTCGGGCGCCTCGAGGTCGACTAGTCTACATCTCGGGACATCAACCTGTGCGGGGCCGTAGCGGCGTTCTAGCTGTCCTGTACCAGACGCATTGGTTAGGCCTGACTACTCCTTCATGGGAACGGGAATCCGACCTCGATCAATTCCGTCGACATATCCTCTTGTACTGGTCCCGGGAGGTCTGCCAGCAAGCAGGGTAACCGTACACATCGAGTGGCTCGGACTCGCGCGGCACCGCGGGAGCTAGCCCGGAATCGTGGAGAACGCTGTTTGCCACCCGAGGCTGATCTTGTGCTTCACGCGACTTGGCTTCGTCGTTTCAGCGCTTCGCCCCTCCCTGTTGGCGCGCGGCTGTGGTACAAGGCCCGTGATGGATTGTGGTGGACCGGACATATTGGTATAGAATCTGCGTATATGATATTCAGGGTGGGCTAGTGTTAAGGAGTGTGGCTGCTAGCATGAATAGGGTACATCTTATTGTTGATAGGATGCGGGTCGGTCAGGAGGTATACCCTTCTGACCCCTACCCCCTTAGAATTGTCTACTCGGTGTACCCCCTGAGATGAAGTTGGATCCCCACTCCATCTCAGACCCTTGCCGATCGTCTCTCAGCAATAACAAGCAACTTTCCCATCTCAACGTGGTCGTGGACAAGTGTGTCAATGACAGAACCTTCATCTATCTCTAGGAGCAAGCTACCGCCCACGGCTACACCTCCTTTAAAACCGGCAATAATCTATGTACAGTAATGGTCCCGATGTAGTGGTGTGTGGTGGGAAGAGAAAGTCATGCCATTATTAAGGGCAATGTCACTACACATAGTGGCAATAATCGGAGACTAAGCTTTGATGCTGACGCTACGGCCAGGTGTTCCTTGGATCTTCACCCGTATGTGTTGTGTATGTTGTTCGTGTGTTTGGATACGGACTGGTTAGATCTACCGGCAACAACAGAGGGCACGCAGATGGGGCATATGTACACCTTGAAATGGTTGCATGTGCGGGGACCCCTCGAACTCCAAAGAGGGCTTCACTTCTCCCTACTCCCCTTGCGTGTCTAATACAAGAGATAAAACGTCTTCCCCTTCCAAGTAAAGGACATATACGAACACACTAGTGTCAGTCCCTCGAGGGAGAGTCCATTAGGAATGTCAGGTCGCAAAGATGGGGGTGACTCCTCCAGCGACTCTGTGGCGGAAGACAGAAAGAGGTCAAGAGAAGAGCTCGTGGCCTTGAGGACGCAAGTTAGCTCGCTGACGGATCAGATGAGCCAGCTAATGTCGCTAGTGGAATATACCATGAAGGCAAGCAAGAATGAGGAGCCAGCTGGCACCATGGAGGGTGCCGCTGATCGCGGCGATGCTAGGGAGAGCGCCGCCGCGGAGTCCACGAACGCCGAAGGAGGGGCACCGTGGACCGGGAGTGCGCAGGACGGGAGGTACCTGCGCGAACCTGTTCGAGAGTCTGGCCCGTCAGGGCGACACAGCGGCGAAGCAGGGGGCTTTGTCCCCCAAGAGGTGAGAGTAGCCGCTGCTCAAAACCAAGATTATATTTGTGCCATGGGAGATGGCGGTGCTGCTGTTGGCTTTCGATACGGAGCCACAACCCCAGCGACGGGGTACAAAGTGTGCGGTACACTTCTCCTCCGTTCAGCGGGAAATCGAAAGATTTCAACGAATGGCTAAATGATTTCCGCATGGCAGCTAATGGCGCAAACCTGTTGGAACAATTTGAAGAGAGCGGGAGCTTGGAGATCCCCGTCAACAGCGGAAAGAGCAAGTTTTCGCTGTCACAGAAGCACCGGAGCGAGTAAGTAGAGCTCGCATTCCACGCGTGGAACTTCCACGCGTTGAACGAAAAAGATCGGAAAATCATGAAGAGGGCAGAGACGCCCCAGGGAGCTCTTCGTGAGCTCAAGACCATACACGACCCTGAATCATCTGTACATCCGTCAGAGGACCTCAAGTCCCTGACGTCGACCAAGATCTCTAGAGGTGAAAACCCCCAAAACGCCCTCAATGAGATGCTCCAAACCGCAAAGTCCTTAACCGAGAAAGGACTAACTGTCAACGAAACGTTCGTCCTTCACCTCTTCCTGGATGCCCTTTCGGACGAGTATGCCATGACAAAGCACAACCTGCGACACGCGAAGGAGTTGACGCGGACCGGTGTGCTAAAGGAAGTAATGATCGAATACAAGGCGATCAAGGACAAGCTGGAGCAGGGGAAAGGAAAAGGGGCGAAGGGCGCAGAGCAAGCGTACTTCGCCGACGGTGAGGGCCGCAGGGAGCGGTACTCAAGTAGGAGTCAGGGGCAAGGTCGTGGTCGTGGCGGCGGCCGTGGCCGCAGCAGCAGTCGTGGCCGCGGCGGAGGCGGTCGCGGCGGCGGCGGCGGCGGCGGTCGCGGCGGCCGCTCAGGCGGATCCGGAGGAGTCGAGGAGAGCAAGGAAAGCAGCAGTGGAGGCGCCGATGGCGGCGGAGGAGGGGACTATAAGTTCCCGGGCCGGTGCTTTAGGTGTGGACATCGTGGACATCAAGCGATCGGCTGCATTACCAACGAGAAGGACTTCGTGCCGTGGTGTGCGCGCTGCGAGGGGTGGGGCCACACCAAAGAAAAGTGCGCGACGGAGGAGGCCGTCCTAGTGCAAGTGGTGGAGCATGAGAGCGACGTGGACTCCGTGGAAGACCAGGCGTTTTGTGCCGTGGCAGTCCCCCCAGGCGAGTGTGGTACCGTTGGTGAAGTAGGTCTAGTGGGGGTTGTGGAACAAGGCCAGGCGGTGTACGTGGCCGACACAGCGGCCACGTGCTCCATGTTCCGATGTGCAGACAACTTCGTGAACTACCATGAGCGGAGCGGTTGGGTGAAGGGGATCGGAGGCGACAAGCCCCCCGTTCCTCTTCTAGGATACGGAGATAAACCTTAGTCCTACAGACGGAAGATGGTGGAGTACCCGTACCAGTGCTGAATGCTGCCCATGTTCCAGAGGCCCCCTACAACCTCCTCTCGCTGTCTTCGTTGGCGGAGGAGGGCCACACGTATTCGGGGATGAAGGGGGGCTCACGCTGACCACGAAAGCCGGGGGGGAGGTGTGGTTCCCCCGTACTGGAAAGCTGCCGACCCAACGAGGCTACCAAATAAAGCCAACGCTACACACCACTTGTGCCGCACTCATTGTTCCTGGCGACGCGAAAGCAGCCAACCCCACTGACCTCAACGAGTACCACCTCGCGCACGGCCATGCCCACGAGACATTGCTCAGGATCACGGCGGAGCAGCAGGGAGTGCAGCTGACGGATGGACCGCTGCTACCCTGTCTTGGCTGTTCGATGTCCAAGGGACAGCTGCTACCTCTTGCAGATGACGAGGGGGGCGGGGAGGGCGAGAGCAGAGCGGATGCATCACGCCAAGGTTGGGTGGGGGAGAGAGACTCAGAGAGTGAGTCCGACCTCGAAGTGATAGAGGCTCGTGGGCCAGTATAAGTGACGACGTTTGTGCGCGAGGAGGCGCCGACGGCACCCGGCAACGGGATTCCGGGGGACGGAGGCAGCGTTCCCCCGTCGCCCCCTTCGGGAAGGGGCGACTTCGGCGGAGGCAGTGATAGCCCCACCGACAGCAGCAGCAGCAGTCCGAGCAGCAGCAGCAGTGACGCCAGCGGTGCCGGCGGCCCGGGCGGCGAAGCCCGGCGACCCAGGTGGGGACGGCGGTAGCGGTCGTGATCCCGGCGACTCCGAGAATCTCGAGGAGTTGAAGTATGATCCAGCCGACGACCGCTACCCCCGCGGGCTAGAAGGGAAGAAACTCCTCTGGGGCGCCTCGAACGCTGGCCCGCTGCGCCATGGGCTTGAGAGTGGCCGCACGCGGAAGCAGACCCGGGAGATGCAAGGTGCCGGGGAGATGTCGGGGCCCGGAGAAACACCGGACCCGGAAGAGGCACTGCTGGCGACCATCCTGGAAACTGGCGGGACGGGGATTGTTGAGGACTACATCTGCAACTCGCTTGTGAAGGAGCAGTGGGACGAAGAGCAGACACGCCATATGGAGGAGATGTACAGGCGCGAGATGCAGGAGGTGTTGGGCCCGGAACAGCAGGCGTTCGGGGCCGAGGTCGACGCCAGCGGGTCTTCGCAACCACTCCCAGACCCACAGCTAAGTATGACCTCGCCAATCGGGCAGAAGCCAAGTAATGTAAAAGCAGTACCGATGACGTACAACGATGTGATGTGTTCCAAGTACAAGGTTTTCTGGGAGGCGGCCATGAAGAAAGAGATAGATGGCCACGACAAGACTGGAACCTTTACCAAGGTCAAGGAGCTGCCCGAGGGGCGGAAGGCCATAGGTTCAAAGTGGGTGTTCTCTTGGAAGACGAATGAGAAGGGCCTGATAGTCGACTTCAAGGCCCGTATGGTTGCGCGGGGTTTCTCTCAAATCCCCGGCATCGACTTCCACCACTCATCCTCAGCGTGCCCGTCTGCAGCGTCTATCAAGACGGTGATTGCCGTAGCCACTGAAAAGGGCAAGAAACTCGCTCACTGGGATGTGAAGCAAGCGTACATCCACGCTAAGCTAAAAGAAGAAATATACCTCAGGTTCCCGGAAGGCTGTGGTAGCATGTCCGGCAAGGTGGTCAAGGTTGAGCGTGCCCTGTATGGCCTAAAGCAGAGTGGCCGTGAGTGGGGGTTTGAAGCTGCCGATGCCCTCATCGAGAATGGATACGAGCAGTGCAGGGTTGACCCGTGTGTCTTCCGGAAGGTGGTGGATGGAGAGGTCGTAGGTCTCATCGTGATCTACGTTGATGACATCATAGTGGCGGCAGACGAGGGAGAGCGAGAGGAGTTGTTCGCTTCCCTCAACAAGAAGTTTCCGGTGAAAGATGTGGGGGAGTGTACCTGGTACGACGGGTGTGCTATCGCCATGGATGTAGAAAATGGCATCACCAAGCTGTCCCAGACAGCATACATTGAGAGCATGCTGAAGCGGTTCGATGTCACCACGACCGCTTTCACCCCTGCTGCCACCGATGCCGACCTAGGACCGAAGAGAGATGACGAGCCCGCGGTGGATAAGCCTGTGAGGGAGGCGATCGGATGCCTGATGTGGACGAAGCTGACGAGGCCAGACATCGCCCTGCCTCTGAACAAGCTCCAGAAGATCGCCCACTCACCCACCGGGAGGATGTGGAACGCTCTTGTGCGGATCATGTCCTACCTGAACTTCACAAAGGACTTCGGCATCACCTACGTACTGGGGTCAGGACTAGACCTAAGCGTGTTTGTCGATGCCAGCTACGCTGACAACGAAGTAGACAAGCAGCCAGTGACGGCTCAGTCGACCTCGGAAGCAGAGAATATGGCAGCCGGGGAGGGCGTGAAGGGGGCGTTGTTTGTGCGTGGCGTTCTGTCGTTCATTGCGCCCGAGACGAGTGGGGCGAAGATCAAGGTCCTTGAGGACAACAAGGGGACTCTCGCCTTAATCGAGCCCCCGTCCAGCTCAGCGAGGAGCAAGCACATCGACGTGCGGTTCCATTTCATTCGCGAGCTATTCAAGTCGGGCAAGATCACTACAGAGTATGTTCCGACTGGAGAGCAGCACGCCGACATGCTGACCAAGGTCCTTGGCAGAGAGAAGGTAGAGTACCACCGGAAGGCTCTGATGAACCTACCGATGTAGTGTTCTCTTGTTCTGTTTGGTTTATGTGGTGGTTTTAGCACTTGGCATATATGACCATGGTACGTCACGCAGGAAGCGTTGTGCCGGCGCGTCACCCGCGGCTGGAGCCTAGAAACGCCGAGAGCGTTGCTTTGGGTGTGTAATCAGCGTGACCGGTTCAATCTGTCCTACCTTGGTCTTGTCTTGGAAGTGCGGCCGTTGGAATCCTCCGTGATAGCGACGGTTTTCTATGTTTTAGGGTGTTAGACGAGGGTTTTTGATGCGGTTGGCCGGGTTTTCCCATATCGAATACGAACTGCTACGCTGCTACGCAGGTCTTCTTTGTCTATCTAACCCTCCAGAGACAGGATGGGGAAGGGGCAGACACAACAGACGCGGGGAGGTGCGAGTCGGGAGGAATAGCTCCGGTTGCGGCACAGCTCTGCCGCTCGGTGCTTTCTGAAATGTGCCAAGGAGGTAGTAATACGCATATATGTAGTACGCGGGCTGTTTGTGTGCGCTCGAGCCTGTTGTTGTTTTTAGTCCCTTTGGTAGATCAGGGGTATCCATGCTCTACGTTAGGTTTGCCATTCGCGTGCAAACCGGGGAGGGTGTTCGTGTGTTCGGATACGGACTGGTTGGATCTACCGGCAACAACAGAGGGCACGCAGATGGGGCTTATGTACACCTTGAAATGGTTGCATGTGCGGGAACCCCTCGAACTCCAAAGAGGGCTTCACTTCTCCCTTCTTCCCTTGCGTGTCTAATACAAGAGATAAAACGTCTTCTCCTTCCAAGTAAAGGACATATACGAACATATGTATCTTAGGGTCCCTCCTTTGTTGTGTGCACCAGTATCCGCGTGAAAACCCAGGTGTCCGCCCATCCCGTGTGTGCATTGACACTTGATCGTCCTTGTGATCACGAGGCCTTCAGCGATCGCAACCTCCCTTTGTGTGCAGGCCGCGGACTGCAGGAACAAAGCAACATTAACATGTTTTGTCCGGCCATCCATGCTTAGGTTCAACACAACAAGCAAAACGCACACACATCCCTCCACACACCGGCTCACTCTCAGAATCTTCGGTGTTGTCTAATAGCTCTAGCTCGTGATCAGAAAAGGTGTCCTCTTGGACGTACGTGTTGCTATCCTCTTCTCCATAAAGATCTCCCTTCCTTGCATCTTCAGACAGAGCTCTTGCGGTGAAATGCAGGAAGGGGGGCTGCGACGTTTTGAATTGTCACTATTGGGGGAATGAGACGCCCATCGTGCCACTAGTGAGGGCCCCGTCCTCAATAGTGGTGCAATGCCACCATATTATTATCGGGTTGGGATTGTGCCACAAGATTTTGATGACATTATTGGGGGCAGTTCACTATTATTCAGGTTGCCACTCTATCGGGACCAGTACTGTACTGTAGTGAAGATGATCAAGTTGTTGCGCCATTACGCCGGAGTGTGCAACCTCACGGTGATGGGGGATATGATGCCGCCCGCTACTTCCATGTAGAGCTGGAAAAGGAAACTGCACTTACTTTCATGTTTTTTGGGCTCAAGTTGGGGTAAAAGACATTGATTGACCCTTTCCCGGTTGCTGGTTTCTTACGTGGGGCGGGTTCCGAGCTAAAGACGAATCACCTTTCCCACCTCGGAGAAGAAAAAAAAAAACAAATTGACTTCGCAGATCGTTCTCAAACGCCCAAAAACGACGTTTAAAAAAAGTTCCCAAAAAAAAAAAGTTCCCCTTCAGCCCGAACTTTTTTTTTCGCCGCATTGCCGAACTTTTTCGCCACGGGAATCGTCGCCAATCGATTCTGCTTGGTCGAATTAGGGGGGGTAGAGCCACTCAGAAAGTTGGTCAGACAAAAAGTGGTGGTGGGAAGCGGGCTTGAAAATGCTGCGCGGCCAGGGCCCAGCGGTGACTGCCGCTGGCGAATGTACACGCATCATGTATGCTGGCCAAACAAGATACGAGGTTATCCACAAGTGGTCCCCACACGAACGAGGAATCAAGCTTCGCACCACCTTGTTGGACAGCAAGAGGAAGGGCAGAAAAGCCGCGGAGAACACAGGCTACTGCGAGGCTAGCGAAGTGGTTTTGTCCAACTTGGCCCGCGAAAAGGCTGACGCCATCATGGCGGGCAAGCGAAACGCAGCTCGGAAGAACGGCATACCACAAGGCGGCGGAAGCGGGGGTTGCGGGGCAGACAGGGTTATGTCCTGCCCCGTCATCGCCGCCATCCAGGGTTCGCATGAGGGATTGAGGACACGTTCTTCTGCCACCACCAACCCGGCTGCTAATAACCCAGAGGTAAGCTGCGCGTCCGGTTGGGCAAGTACGATGTGTGGTACTGCTGTAGCACGGGTGCTGCTGCCTGCTGCCTGCTGCCTGCTGCTGCCTGCTGCCTGCTGCTGCCTGCTGTAGGTGTATCGCCGTACGTAGCATACATCCCAATTCAGTCACCATAGTATCAACTACAACCCGTTGAAAAGCCAACTTCACATCCACCCCGTGGACACTCTTGTACGTCCCCCCACCTGCTCCTACGATAAAGATGCTGAAGCCGACACTCATGTACT